TTTTGCATGTCTACCACTTTGTGTGACTGCGACCTTCATCATTGGGAAGCGTATGCTGGAAGCACTTATTTTAAATCAAAAGCTACTGTTGTATCACAAGACACTTCCGTTTCTGAGGGAGTGCCTGATGCACCAAGTCATATCTCTGTTTCGACTGAACCAAATGCAGTCTCGATTGAAACAAATACCGAGGGAGCCCGATACAAGAAGTTTGACATCTCAGATTCTGAGGGAGCCCAATCTAACCCTTTAACTTCTTCACCTATTTCAGAATCCGAACCTCGAGCAATTACTTTTGACGACCCGCACGTTTCCGAAGGAGCGCAAACATATGATCCAGAGGTTGAAATCGTACGACGAAAACAACACCGATTGTTCATGTTGCATGAAAAATACGGACACCTTGGTTTTGCCAAACTCAATCTCATGGCTAGGGCTGGTTTAATACCTCGAGAATTAGCAAACGTGGATGCTCCGACATGCCCCGGATGCGCTTATGGAAAAGCTCATCGCAAACCATGGCGATACAAAGGAACCAACAAACGGCAAATCAAACCTGCAACTCATCCAGGACAGGTCATCAGTGTTGATCAACTTGCAAGCCCAACACCAGGATTTGTTCCAACTCATCGAGGAACTCCTACCACTATGAGATACACTGGGGCGACAGTTTTTGTCGACCACTTCAGTGACTTCACCTACATCCACCTTATGACGGAAATGAATGCGGAAACTACGGTATTAGCAAAACTAGCGTTCGAACGTGAATGTGCAACACATGGAGTTCCTGTAAGACACTATCATGCAGACAACGGTTTGTTTGATACTAAACTATTTCGAAGTTCAGTTGAAAAGGCTGGGCAAGGCTTAACTTTCTGCGGAGTGAATGCTCACCATCAAAATGGAAAGGCTGAAAGGAGAATCAAAGATGTAACTGAGGGAGCTCGAACTGCCTTGATTCATGCTGCTCACCGATGGCCTGATGCAATTCACGCCTCACTTTGGCCTGCCGCTCTGAAACATTACGTCAATCTCAAAAATGCATTACCTACCAAATTCTCATCCGAGATCAAAGTGAATGGTCGGAAGCAACTGGCCAAGTACGAGGAATCTCCGATCTCAAAGATGTCCCAAGTGGAAGTCGAACCAAACCTGGAACACTTCCATCCCTTTGGATCTCCTGTTTATGTGCTTTCTGACAATTTGCAAGCCCTAAAATCTCACAACAAGTGGACTGATCGCACTCGAGTCGGTATCTTTTTATGCCACTCACCAAATCATGCATCCAGCGTACCATTAGTATTGAACACCAAAACAGGTTTCGTCTCACCGCAATTTCATTGCATTTACGATGACGGATTTGACACCTGTAAACGAGATGTTCATTTCACATCCGCATGGCAGCGTAAAGCTCAATTGCATCTCGATGAACAAAAGAAACCAAAAACTC